AAGCGGATCAGCTAAGCCAATGGAAAACATCCTCAAACACAGGACTGTAGAGTTTTCCTGCGAGGGCCGGGCTGGCATGGGGCTGGCTGTGACAGTGCTGCCGGTGAGCAACGAGCGGTCCGGCTGCCGTGTGAAGGGGAGATGATCGCACTGACGGCGCAGCCGCACCGAGCACAAACCAGCCGCTGTCGCTTCTGCCTTTGACAGGCAGAGTAACGTCGTACCACCTTTTACACCTCCGGATTTGTCTCTTTCCTGCGCCGGGTTCCCGCAGCGCTCGCACACCGCGCAGCGCCGTGGCCGCCCCTCAGGGGCGGAGGCTGCGGGCTCCTCCCTGCGCCGGGCGCGGGGCGGGGCCGGGCCTGGAGCGGGCCGGAGGAGGCGGCGGGGAGCGGGAGGGGCTCGGTCCCCATGGCGGCCGCGGCMGAGGGGCCGCCTGAGGCCGGCGCGCAGCCCCCCAAGCGTAAGGAGCCGGGGGTAGGGGAGGGCGGGTCGGGGCCGCGGTGTGGGGGTGGGCCCGGGGAGGTCGCTGCGCGGGCAGGAGTTCCCGGCGAGCCCGCGGCCTCGCGTGTCCCGGCTGGGCCGGGCTGAGCCGTACGCCTGCTGCTGCTGCTGCTGCTGCTGCTGCTGCCGCTGTCGCTGCCGCTGTCGCTGCCGCTGCCGCTGCTGCTGCCGCTGCCGCTCCGGGGCCCGGCCGTGTCCTACCCGYTCCGCCGCTTCGGCCTGAAGGAGCCACGGGCCTCGGGCAGCCTATGTGTGCGAGCGGGCAAGCGCTGGGGCAAGCGCTGCCCACGGGGGAAGGAGCGGCCTGGTGGGTTGGGGAAGAGAGGCCGGGCTKCTCTGGGGAAGGGCCGAACAAGGGCAGGTTGGGGTAGGAACGGGTTTGGAGAAGAAAGCGGTGACTGCCGCTGTGGGGGTCTGTTSTAGCCCCCGTGAAGCGGACTGGGGCAGCTGTGCTTCAGTTCCAGGTCAGTGACTAGAAGTAATCAGCAGCGTCGTGCACAGTTCTCCCCAAGTTCCTTTCCCGTCTAAGAATAGGAGGGGGCTAATGCTTGTGAGTGCAGACAGGCCGGGTGCTTGTCTCTTGAATGCTTCCCTATTTTGAAATAATGKTGGTGCTACTTCAAGGGTGCTGCCATAGTTTGTTCCCTCCTAGTGTAAAGTAGACAACTTATATGGAAAGTAGCTGCAGGGAGTTTGAAGGGGAAAAAATGGGACCATTTCACTTTCTGGTGTGTTTCTTTACTTGCTATAGTTTTGCCTTAACCCTGTAATGTCTTTTCCCTGAGTAGAGGATCCTGCAGTTGAAACTGCAGAGGAAGCTAAGGAGCCTGCGGAGGCAGACATCAATGAGCTCTGCAAAGACATGTTCAGCAAAATGGCCACTTACTTGACAGGTGAACTGACAGGTAAGGCACTGCAATACTGACCTGCTGTTTCTTCTTTCTTTTCACTTTCAAAAGTATCTGTTGTGTAGTTTCTCTAGAGAGTAACTATTTAGATCACATTTGGTAAGACTGGCAGTCCAGACCTGGCACRCTGCTAGGCTGCTAACAACACTGAGATTARTTATATTAATTTAATGAAGTCCTCRAATAGCACACATATTTTTCACAATAATTCAGTATGATAGCAGCAGCTTAAAAAGAAATTAGTCTTGAAGAAGTTTGTACATGGAAAATCAGTCAAGCAAAAGTGGTCTAGGTTAAGACAGACTAAGAGAGAAGCATTACAAAGAGTGGAGTTTTTTTTGGAGAGCAAGGATCTTACACGTTTACCAACATTTATGCTTTAGAATTAACTGTGCAAAATTACTGGAGCAAAGTAAACTGCTTATCAGGTTAGTGGATTTCATAGGCTCTAATTTTGAAAGCATTGTGCAGCACTACTGATTTGCACAGACTTGAATGGTATATGGTAAAGATGACCAGACTGGATTTATGCTATTGGTTTTGTAAACATAAGTGTCTAGCTGACAGAAAAAGAGTAGAAATGTGAGGACTTAGTAATTTTTTCTCAAAAAAAAAAATTAAAATGAGTTCCACAATGCAGTTGATTTTTGCAATTCAGAAAATGAATTGCATAAAACCTTTCTGTAGAGTGTATACTAATAACCTGTATTGCCATCTAAACTGCTGTGTTTCATTTAGCTGTTGGGTTGAAATCTCTTGTCCTCTTGAAGAGTCTGCACACAATTCAAACTGCATCACCTCTAATTGAAATAAACTTTATTATTTTTTAAGCCACCAGTGAAGACTACAAACTCTTGGAAAACATGAATAAGCTSACTAGCTTGAAGTACTTAGAAATGAAAGATATTGCTATAAACATCAGTAGAAACCTGAAGGATTTAAACCAAAAATGTAAGTACACCAAATAAGGCAGGGGTGTAATGAATGGTGCACTTGTTTGGGAAAYGAAGCATTCTAGAGTCAGAAGGTTCACAGTCCATTAGGTGCTGAAGGAAAGAAAATTTACTGAAATAGATGTGCTGCTATACAATGCTGGTCTTGTATTTTTCTTAACAGCTTTAGACTATGTAGACTGCTGTAAGAGAAAATACATCTGATTTTGTGTCCTGGTTTAACCCAGATTCTAGATCTGATAAGAATAGCACTTATTTTAATTATTATTCTCTTTTTACTTCTTTTAGAAACTAGACCATGCTCATAAACATTTAACATTTCCTGGAACATAGTTGTCAGTGTCACCATTTAATTTTGGTGCAGGGAAGGGAAGGACCTTTTGAACTGTCCTGTCTGAAGAATATAATAAATTCTTGTGTTTCACTTTGAACTGTTTCTTGGAAGTGCATAACTGACATAAAATTTTTGTACTTTTTTAAGATGCTGATCTTCAGCCATATCTGGAACAGATAAACCTAATTGAAGAACAGGTTGCAGCTCTGGAGCAGGCAGCTTATAAACTGGATGCATATTCCAAAAAACTTGGTAACTATTGTCCTCCATTATTAAGACCTAGCAGCTTAGTGCCTTCCAAGGGTATTTAAAAAGAAAGAGTGAGAGATATGTTTAACATATCTGAGCTGCAGAGTTGCCTGTGCTGCTTTTGAATAYAAACATTGTGTATGAAGTAATAAGCATTGAGAAAAGATTCATGTAACAAGTTATATTGCAGTGGACTAATACAGATGTTGTTAAACTACAGCTTATTGGTGAGGCTTGATTTCTTTTTTATGGTATGTACTGATTCATATTTTAAGGATTGATGTTTCACCTTGCAAATAGAGGGATTCATAAAGTTCCACCAGGCACCCAAGTCCCCTTGACTTAAATTAACATTATTGTCTGACTTAAGCACTGTGTTCTTAAATTATTTTACAATTATATTTGTCTAAATGCATTAGTAAAATGGGATCCTGAATGATACAGTAAATGAGCTTACAGGATGCAAAGCTTTTACCTGCCCAGTACTAAGAGGTGATTTTTCCTTCTGCAGAAGCCAAGTACAAAAAACTGGAGAAACGATGAAATTAAAACAGTCTACAAGCTGGATTTGGGCAAAGAATCAGACTGATCTCTGGTTTTGCACAACAGCAATTCTGTATGTTGACAAGGATTTGGTTACAGCTAACATGGAGACTGGGAACTTTTTCTAGCTGTTGAATACAGTGTTTTGTATTCAGGCTTAAGACTGAATAATATTTTCCTCTTCTCAAGGGGTATTGTTGCCTCAGTTTTGCAGTGAAAAGTAGAAGCTTGTCTTTAACTCACGTCTATTTTGGCTATGTGTGTGTTAGTCCTGTTTTCCACATTAAATACTTGGTCTAGGGAAAGTCTTCTGTTATCTGTGAAGACATTTTCTCCTAGTAGCAGCAGGACCTAAACTTCAATTTTTGCTTCACTGAGCTCTGTTGGGAAAATACCTGGACCTTTGGACTTAATGGGTGGGGTATTGGAAACACTTCATTTTGGTATCCCCTTTTATCTGTTTGAAATAGACTAATTACTATAAATTCACAATTAAAAACCTTGCTGCATTTATTTCTCTGGAATCTGAAGTTCTGTTGGAAAGATTATGCAAGCTGTTTATTTTTTAAAGGGATCTGTTAATAAAGACAAACATCAAGCTACTGGGGATGATAGAAGAAAGCATGTTTTAAACTGTGCATGAGGTATTCCTGCAGTTATATTCTTTGACTGACTGCACCTTACGTGAAATTTCAAGACTTTAGCACATGCTCAGTTAACTTAGCAGATCCTTTCTCTTTTTCACCGGTGAATTTTGATGTTAACAGTTTTTGAAGTGTCATGCCTTGAGGAAAAAGCTGCTTCTTTACTAGGTTAACCATGTTCCAGATTGCTGATTTGACAGAGCCCTTCCTACTGAGCAGATTTTCCTCCTACTCCAAGGATATTTTTTTCTGTACCTATTGACCTAAAGTAATTCAAGCTTATTAATCTTTGAAAGCAAACAGCAAACAAGTTCTTCCTGATTCACATAAACAGTTAATTCCACGGTGGTGATGTTACAGTTGCTGTCTTTTCCCACCGAATACAGATTCAGCTCTCTGTCTTCACTGCAATCACTATATATTATATATTGATGGGAATGTGATCAATACAGGAAATACCAGTCATGGATTTATACATGTTGCTTGGCAATTCATGTAAACTTTATTTATGATTTTTTTCCTGATTGTCACATTGCTGTAGTGATCTTTATGTATTTCATAAAATAGTGGAAAGATGCAAGTTGACATTCATCTAGGAAATGGCACTGGTTGGATTCTGGTATTATTTAATTTGTCCTTTTTTTCACAATGAAGAGCTGTGTAACCTCAGCTGGGGTTCTTACAGGTCCCATAGGGGCAGTGCAGCTTTATCCCACTTTRAGAATGGAAGTTTATAGGTCATTAGCTCATTCTTCAAGCCATATGACTGAGTGRAATGAAACAGTCAGGTGTGTGCAAGACTTGAAAGACATTTTGGAGTATAAGCTTTGTGAATACAGGTTTTTCAATAAAATATGTTCTGGGATCTCTAAAAAACAATTCAGCATATTACTTTATTTTGCATTATAAATTGTAATTYCACAAACATTCATTATAATCACACACAAGGTGACCCATCGTCAAATGCAAAAATACTCTGCATTTATGCTTGCCTTTACAAATAGATCACAAACAAACCAAAAGTACAGAGGGGAGAGGACTTCAAACATAGTGTAAAAACCCTGGAGTAGGAGAGTGTGTTCTTGCTGTGCTGAGAGAATCAGGTGATAGGGACAGCAGCAGCAGGGCTCTCAGAGAACTAGTTCAGACAGCCTGGCATGTTAGGAGCCAGACAGGAACCAGAGCTGGGCGAGGTAAATGCAGAGGAGAACCTGTATGGTTTTGCACAGGCAGCTGTGTCCTTCCCTATGTGATTGTCTGCTCAGTTAAGAGCTGGCTGTGTTGATTATAAAAGCACCATACAATTTTCTTTTCTAAGCACTCCTCTCTCCATGAAGCAGCTACCAAATGATCTGAGTATTTCAGTCTCAACGGGCTGGGGAATGACAGTCATGGGTTTGGGAGCTGGCAGCTGTCTTCACTTGGTTAACGTGGAACAAAAGAGATCTCATAGTCTGCGGGCATTCTTGCCACACTGGTGGTTACTGGAATAATGTTAATGTCCTTGCGATCTATAACAGGCTTCAAAGTAAAGTTCTGCAGGATGGATGTTAAAAATATGAATATCTCCATCCGGGCCAGACCTTCTCCTGCACAGATGCGTTTTCCTACAAGCAAAAAAAAAAAAAAAAATTAAATTGAGGTGACAGTCTGGTTGCTCTTGTTCTGCTGCTGTTTAATGTTAAGTTTGAGAGGCAGAAGTTGCATGGTTGAGTCCCATTCATATACATCTTGTAGAAGGCATTGGAGGAGCTTTTGGTTTTGCTAAAAAAGGAAGTCAACTGAAACTAGTGCGCAAGTTAGAGCTGCCCAGAAGTGACTCCAGCAGATGTCACCTGACATCACTGTGCAGACCATGGCAACAGAGCCATGAAGCCTTCAGAGAGATTCCAGGAGAGGATAGTCTAGGATCTGAAATAGCAAGAGCTCTTACCTGTAGAAAATGGCATGAAGTGGTCACTCTTTTTAAAGGTACCATTTRCATTCAAGAAATGTCCTGGGTCAAATTTTTCTGGATTTGTAAACTCCTTGCTGTCATATAGGACGGAACTCAGCATAGGGATTATCATAGTGCCCTGAATTAACAAAAAAAKAAAGGTACAATGGAGATATGTTAAAGCAAAGAGGCACTAAGAAGTTCCCAGAGTTAAATAGAAAGGTAGTCAGAGTTTAACAAGTTTTAATGAACATTTAATGCATAAAAATATATGACATTTGTATGGCAAAGATTTTCTAAAATTAATTCTAATGGTGAGTCTGTTTAGAGCATTTAATATTGCTTCCAAATAAATTATAACTTGCATTTATGTGAAGAAAAAAAATAAAAAGCTTGAACTTCCTCTTCACACAGAGTATTAAAAAGTATTTTTTTCCTAATACAAGGGGTTGGACTCAATAACTTCCAAAATCCCCTTCCAAAAAACAAAATTATTTCAATTCAAGATCACGTTTCAGTGCTTTTGAAAATTAAATGAAATACAAAGAACAGAACACATCATTGTTTTCAAGAGACTGATGACCTTTCTCTGGGACAGACCTTGGGGATAAAATAGTCTCTGAACTTGGTGTCTCTGATCACAGCATGTGGGACATCAAGAGGAAGGAAATCAATGTATCTCTGGATTTCATGGATCACAGCATCTGTATAGGGCATCTGGCTCCGATCTGACATGCAGGGGCTTCGGTCCCGGCCAATCACGGTATCAATCTCCTTCTGCATTTTCTCTGTTAGGAAATAAGTAAGTTTTAAATTAACAAGTCCCCCATTTTTTTTTGCCTAAACCTTTCCCCATATTTGCAACAAAATTTACTTTTAGCACACCAGGAATATATGAATATAGTTAGTGCTAACATCTCCTTCCCATGAATAAAACTAAGACTAGTACACATTTCCACACTGCAAAGACTGATTTCCTTAGTCAGGGGACTTTTGCCACAAGTGGTAGTGACAGGAATTGCCCAAACTGATCCCACAACCTATTGAAAAGTTTTAAACTATTTCCATTACCTGTTATCTCTGGGTATTTATGGAGAATCAGCATTGCAAATCTCAGTGTGAKGCTTGTGGTCCCTGTTCCTGCAATGAACAAGTCGAGTGTGGTTCTGCTCAAGGTCTCAACCGTGAATTTTGTGTCATCATTCCCTTTCTCCTGCAGGAAGATTAGGCAGAAGGTTTTGAATGACAAAGCTAAGAAGCTTGTTTAAAGAGGGAAGTCCTGTATGCATAGTGTAGGTTTATAAACATATCTAATGTCCTTTCAAAAATGCAACACTCACTCTCCAGAACACCAGCATTTATGGGGCATTTACTGAATAATATTATGAGCATTTTTTAATATGGAAGGAGCATTGAATTACATTAACCACATGGTCTTCAGTGCTCCTCACTTTGGCTTGTGCTGTTAATTCTGTGTTTAAAAATCCTTGATAAGAAAATTGAGAGGATAAAATTAAGTCAATGTGTCAAGAAGAGCAAGTTCCCCTTCGTATTTGCAAAAGCCCAATGCCTCGTCTCAAGTAAAATGAAAATACATGATTGAAGCAGTGATTTCCTTATAATCAAATAATATGAGCTCTTATAGTACCTGTTCCATTTTGTTAAGAAAAGCATCAATAAAATCTCGAGGACAAGTGGGATCCAGGGTTTTCTGGTGTTCCTTTATGATATCTGTTGTGAATTTATCAACTCTTTCAAAATTTTCCATCACTTGTTTATGAGGTCCAGGTAGATAATCCATGACAGTTGGGAAGAAATTATATAACTGTAAAAATAAAATTATGAAAAAGTGCCTTCTGATTAAAGTGGATACAATACAATAATACATGGGGCAATGAAACTGTTTTGGATGGAACAGTAGATGTTTATTACACAGGATTTTATTGCCATTTACTTTATGCTTTCACTACATTCAAGGATCGACAGCACCTGAGCAACTTTTACAGTGAAAGCCTTTGGACAAAYAATGGGAATTCCATAAAGTAAGAAAAAAAACTAGCAGGGATTTGTTATTTAACTGGGTTTTTTTTCAAATTTAGGAAAATCCACTGCAATTAAAAACTAATAACACAAATAAATATCCATTGATAAATAATAGCTAACAAATGTATTAAATAAAACCACACACCTGGACTTGTAYATTGGTCTGGAGCCTGTTGTTTTCCTCTATCCAATCAATTAAATCTAGAAATTTCTTGTCCTCATAGTCAAAGCGATCCCCAAAGACGATGGAGCAGATGATGTTGGAAACAGCATGGATTAAGAAATTTCCAGGGTTGAAGGGTCGCTCTGCAACAACCACCATAAAAATGGGTATCTTGCTTTCAGTATTTCATGGATCATCCCCTCCTTTGACACTATASAGTAGTTTTCCATCCACTGGAGATCCAGAGTTTTGCAGTTCTTTGAAAGGGTGGCGAAAGGCTTATCCAATTTACATTTCTYTACTTGAAATGAACTATTTTCACTCTTAGAATGGGTTAAATATCTCTTCTCCTGTTGTCAGCAGAACACTGGTCTGAGTGCCTTAGTTCCTCTTCAGCTGGTACATGCCTATCTGCCTTATAGACTGTTTATTAGAAATAGCCCAGAGAGTCCCATGAAACCAGGAGAACTTTGCCTGAACCGTGTGTTTAGGTTATTGCACTTTCCTTATTAACTTTATTAGCATAACCTCAGTTGTATAACCCTCTCTCTAGGGTTTAAATGCTTGTGATCAAAGTCTARTTTTGATAGCACAGCTGCATTAGCTTCTATGAAGAGAATTATAGTCTAAGCAAAAAGCAAGATTAGACCCAAGAAAGAAAGGAAAGCTATAATTATAGACAGTGATARAGTGCATCTCAACGTTTCAAGGGGAGAAACAATAACATGAAGAAAAGGTATAGAATCCTGAGAGCAAACCACAGAGAGAAAATGTCAACTTGGCAGCAGCCTATTCCAAGGAGCAATGGCACCGATTCTTCTCTGCCTGACTGGTGACTCTGTGGCCATTAAAGATTCAGCARATGTCTCAGAGGTGGTGAGTATATTAATACTGAATGTAGAAGACACTAGTCGTATCYATTTACTAATTGAATAAGGGTAAATAATGGATTTATACTTTTCAGTTGTATGTTTCTTGCTTGCAAAACCTTTCAGTACAGAGTAAAAGATGCTGTAGCAAGGTGAGCCAGAGTTACAGGCTTGCATAAGGGCATAAGAAATACAGTATTAATGTGCTAGTCAAAAGCAATGCARGTGAGAGTGTTTTCTCTGATTAGTAAAAGGAATGTTTATCTGAGAAGCCAGATTGAATTTTCTAGTAGTTCAYGAAAAACAGTGATTCTTATCATCCTTTTAGATCCATCTGCTTTTCCTCTTGCAGAACAGGCATGCATTGAGGGCTGGCAAGGAAGCCTGGGGTCCAGGCTGGTACTGCGCCACTGTTAGGGGAAATACTTAGAAGTAACYTTGACTTATATACTACCAGAAAATATGTTTACAGGTTAAAACCAAAGGGCTAACCTTACACCCTCCCCTCAGGAGCAGCTTATATCCCTTTTCCCATTGGACAGCCCCACCATTGTCTAGTGTTCAGATGGACTGGATCCAACCCCAAATATCTGCAGATGCATTCTCTGGTCACCCAATTCTTCRGGATCTGTTCACACAGAGCTGCAGGAGACAAGGTGACGAAGAGCCTACTCGGTTACCCGACAGTGTCCAACACTGTCTCCATGGCTGAATTCCATCAAACCCTTGGCTCAGTGACAAAGCTATTCCTTTTGCCACGCCCTGTCTTGTTCTTCAAGCAGAATTGTTAAAGGTCACTTTCCAAGCCTCTCTCCTTTGTCCTCCATACTCTCATAGTGCCTTTGACTGACCCACTGTCAGGCCTGATAACTTTGTCTGCAGAAGCAGAGGGCAGAAACCGCAGCCAAATGCCCATCCTTGGGACATTGATTTTGTGAAGCAGCCCTATACCCCTCATTGTCTCATTGCAGATATGCAAACTGTCTCAGCAAGCACAAAGTCTTTATCCTACCATGTGTATTCTTGATYCTCTCCACCAGAAAATGAGCTTCCTCCTGGATTCGCTCCTCAATGCCCTTTTTCCCCATCCCGAAATCCCGCAGGGTGGTGATTGCAAATCGTCGCAGCTGCTTCCAGGTCTCCCCATTGCTGGTCACGATACCTGGCACAGGGAGGAAAAATAGATCTTCATGATGAAACTGATTTTTTTTCCCTCAGTGGGAACTACACAGTTAAGTACTCAGCATGCAAAAACACCTCTCTGTGGAGTCCACTGCAATTGTTATGTGCACAAAAATGTAACTTCTCTGCAGTTCTGAAGGTGACAAATTTGACCCACCTGTCGCAGCACTTTTCTTCAAAGTGACTTGATCCCCAAAATAAGAAAAACTATGTTAGGAAGTAAGTGAGAAGGTGACGCTGGTACTGAGTTGATCTTGGGCACAGCCACAAGGCTTTTATACTGTTTTTTGGTTTTTTAACAAACTAATCAAATATTCTTCCATGCACCTTTACAGAGCATATCATCATTGACAATACCATTGGTACAGCTCTATATATRTAATACCATGGAATATGCACTATAAATGCCATACCAGGGGCTGAACTGGCGAATAATCTCATGACCTAATCTGGAGTACGGCCCTTACTGAGTCAGCCTATATTATATCTTTGTTGTGCTGTGGACTTTACTTTTGCTAGTTCCTTAGTTGTGTGTATATTTATTTTCAGAAATGGGAGAATTAGCATATGACCTTAGAGGCACATTGAACRTACAAAATTTTAGCCAGATCTTGAAGCATGCTGAAAATAAAGAGGCACACAGTGAAGCCATCTTGGGACCTTGAACAGCTCTCCAGGGGACCAGTTTATTCAAGGATCCAAGTAATGAGTTGGGCTTTTGGTCCTTAATTGTTAATTTGTCTGCATAAAAGTAGTAAATTAAATCTACCATTCCCTCCTCCAGTGCTCTCTCAGCTGTGTTCTTGAAGCACTGAAAACATCTGTTTTGTTTGCTGGCATTACCAAGGACATACCTGTGCCTTTGAAGAGTTTCTCAAACAGTGGTAGAATGTCTCTTCCACTGAAGTCATCTCCTTGGTCAACCAGAGCTTCTTTTACAGCATCATAGCCATASAGCACCACAGCCTTTTTCGGGCCTAAACGTACTGTGAAGACAGGACCATACTTCTCACTGAGCTGTAGGAAAGAAGAGCACAAAGAGCAACATGACTGAATGATAATCATGGGAAGTCTGTAGCAAAGAGGTCTGAGAGGTGATGTGCCATTGCCCCAGAGCTGCTGAGACATGACATTGATTAACAACTGCGCAGAGATCTTTCAACTATGCGTTACACACAAGGGAAGAGGGAATTTACAAGAAATAGGGAATGTGAACATAAGTGGAGAGTACCCAGTTTGAATCTGAGAAAAGAGATTAGCCCTTCATGGGGCTAGAAAACATTCAGGAATGCCTTTCTGCAGGGCATAGGGGATARCAGTTTACATGAGCTCAAAAACCATTATATACACATACAGAAGAAAATGCCCAAAGGGTTTTTGAGCACAAACAGCAAAGCTGTCCTTTAAATGGGTATTTTTGCCATCAAAAATGGCAACAGTCAGGGAAGGGAAKGGATAGCACAATTCATCATCAAACTTTTTTTTCTTCAATTCCTKTGYTTGCTRTTTGCACTCCCTGGAGATCCTACAYACATGCYAGSGAGCAGTGGCAGCGAGATGGAGCAGGGTTCTGCCCCAGCAAGGGCCAAGCTGTGTTGCCAACACGGTGAAGTGTTGGGCACAGGAGGATTATATTGCAATGATATCAGTGCCTTGATTGCAAATCCACTGCAAATTGTAGATTGTTGCACAGACTGTGAGGCCAGCACAGGACTCATTGTTAGTATAATCATTGCAAATATATAGATTGACTTGCAATATATAAACTTAGATATATATATGTAGACTTGTAATAYATAGACTTAGAGACATAAATTATTGCAATATATAGACTTCTGAAGGATGTATGCCTGGAAAACCTTTTGTTTCTGCTTGARTCTAACATTTGGTCAATGCAAATTAAGCTTGTGAATTAAGCTGAGACCAGCAGGATTGGACTTGAATTTATATGCAATGAGGACAACATAGCAAAGAAGGAGGCGTTCCCTTACCTGCTTCAAGCTTTCAGGCAAATCCCGAGGGTTCAGCTGGAGCAGGTTTCCAATAAGGGGGAGTGCCATGGGACCAGGAGGCTCCTTCCCTTTTTGAGATCTGCTTCTCCATGTGGCAAAGAGAAGGCATGAGATGCAGATCAGCAAGAGAATACCGGTCATTCCCAGGGGCTCCATGGTGGGCTGAGGAAAAGAAGCCAAGCGTCAGAAAAGCCTAATGTTGGACCTGTTAATCCACGCTTATTTATATGCTRTGGTACCAAAGGACATGGTTGAAATTAGCCAATAGTGCCTTCCTATTCCTGCTGAGATATGAGTTTACTTATTAATCTGCTCATGATAAGAATGAATGTTATTAAAGTTGACTTTGTGAGTGATGTAATAGTCCTAAAGCAATGGTAATTCAGACCCAGTGARGCTACAGTAGGGAAACAAATAAACAAGGGATGAGGACGTGTACAGAGAAGAAGATGGTAATTGTTGCAGCTTAAAAAGGTGAATGGAAGTATTAATGGAATTAGGAAAAAAAATTGTTTTCATTACCTTAGGGAGTCTCTGTGTAATAAGAAAGAGATATGACATTACTCTTAGAGTAATCCTGAATGAGAATCTGCAAAAGAAAATTGGTTATCTCTGTTTATCTCTGATCTATTAAACTGGTGCTCAAAGACAATGCAGTGGATAATGTTGGCAAGAAAAGTGAAGTGTGTCAAACTGTTACAGATTATTCTGATTTGGAAGGGATCCACAAGGATCATCTAGTCCAACTCATAAATGAATAGCCCCTACAGGGATTAAATCCACAACCTTGGCATTATTAGCATCGTGCTCTAATCAACTAAGCTAATCAGAGCTCTCTGTAGCAAAATCTCTCTGGACAGTTCTGTTTGTAACAGCTTCCTTTTCCCCTGACTTCTTCCAGTTTCCCCTGACTGCAAAGGAAGGCCCTGGAGACATGTACAGATTTACATGTCTGACTGCTAAGGATCTCTTTTGAGGCAAATGACTAATTCCCTGCTCATCTGTCCTGGTCCTAATGAGTTTTTTTTATCAGCAACAAATTCTGCCAATTCTAGTATAATGGGCACTGCTCTGAATACGGCATACCAGGGTATTTAAAACTAGAAGTGTGCAGATGAGTGAAATTGAAAGGAGCCTTCTAGACTYTGGAGGGATGATTATATATTGCTGAGAACAGTCAGTTTTATTGTCACCAAAGAAAAGTTCTAGTTGTTTGCATTTTCTTTTCCTTTACTTTTGTAGATAAAGTGCCTTGAATTCCTCTATTGGCAGCCCTGAGGGATGAACAACTGCTGTGAAGCCTAATGCACTGGAAAAGCAGGGCTTTGCTTGGAGCATCATCCCACATCCGGACATGGCTTTTTTGTTATTTATCTAATTACTTACTTAATCCCTGGAGGGTTTCAAAATGGTGCTGGGAGTAAAGCCAGGGCTGCTTAGAAGGATCCCTGAGTTTAACTGAGAAGAGATTTAACTGCCAAAGGTCTTGGATCACCTCTGATGACACAAAGACAGGGATTATTTGAGTGTGAAAGGCTATTTGAGTATGAAAGACTTATCTGGGTATGAAAGACCCGTCCTGATCCAGTTCACATTTATAAGAAGTMCCTAAAAGACTCTGATTTCTTCCCAGCTGTCTTCCCAGGGTGGTAGGAAAGCAGATGCTGGGGCCTCTGTCTTGGTACAAATTGGCACCATTCTCTGGCTCCACCTGTGAATTTAATCTCAGATTGAGAGGATGGGATGCTGCAGTATGAACCAGTCTTCCAAATTCAGACCTTCCTTTGAATGCCTTCTGGAGGCTGTTGCTTTGCCTGGCTGCCTGGTRGCACAATGGGCCAGCTCCCAGGATTCCATCCTGTGTTTATACATACGTAGCCTTCAATCTGGGGCCTGCACTTAATTCACTGGCTTCTATTGTCCTCCAGGTTAGGTCTGTGAGAAAGCTGACACCTTCTTGTCCCCAGATGAGCCCCTTCAGGTGTATTCCCAGCCTGCAGAGACTTACTGGGTCTGGCTCCCTCGCAGCAGCCGGAGTGGTGCTGTGGTTTGGATTTGTGACAGCGTTGAGGACACACCAATGTCTCAGCCACTGCTGAGCTGTGCTTGCATAGCCCTCAGGCTTCCTCCCTCTGTCCCCAGCACAAGGAGCAGGCTGGGGGTTAGCCAGGGATTGGGAGTGAACACAGCTGGGACAACCAACACAAACTGGCCAAAGTGACAATCCACATCATCTGACATCATGCTTGGCAATGAAAACCAGGGAATTGTCTCTCCAATGCAGTCATTGTTCAGACACTGTCTGATCATGGGTCTTCTGGAGGGAGGTGGGGAGTCTTTGCATCACTTGTYCATTTTTTTCCTTCTCTTTGTTTAATGGTCTTTATCTTAAGCAGGAAATTTTATCATTTTTGCTCTTCCAAGTCKCTCCCTCATCCTGTTACAGAGAGCTCTAGAGTTTGCACAGTGGAAAGCTGGGTACAGACTATTAACCAGTGTCTATTCCTTGGCACACAGAAACAAATAAAGGTAACAATTTTTGGTAGCTGGTCCTTTCCATATTTTTAAATACACAGAAGGAGGTGGCTTTTCACACACCATACCCTTGGGCTGTGGAGCACCATTTTTTGAGATGTACGTGTCCAAAAATTAACCAGGCAAATTCATTGGAGTAAAAGCCATTGAGGGTACCCAAATACAAAGATACCACAGAAAGCCTGGGAATCACTGGAGACTGAAGCAGTCTTAAAGAATCTTCCTCTGTGGTAACCATGGTTTTGTTCTGTTTCTTGGAAACTAATTTTTAAGCTGCTGTTGGAGTTGGACAGAATTCTGGGCTGCCTTGACTGTGGTCATGATCCAGCACATCCATTTTTGGGTTCCCATGCACTTACATTATAACGTGACATTTCACTAAACATTTTCATTGAGATGGTTTAACCCCAGCTGACAACTGAGCACTCTCCCTCTGCAGCAGGATGGAGGGGAAGAGAACTGGAGCAGTACAAGGCAGAAAACTCACAGGTTGACATAAGAACATTTTAATAAATGAAATAAATAGTGATGATGTCAATGATGATGATGATGATGATGAAGAAGAAAATAAAATTTTAAAAATAAAGCTCAAGAAAGGCAAGTGATGGAAATTTAAAACAACTGCTCACTACCAGCCAGTTGATACCCAGCCACTGCTGAGCAGTAGCCTCCAGCCTATTTCTCTCTAGTTTATGTTCTGAGCATGTTGCCATATGGTATGAAATATCCCTTTTAGCAGTTGGGATCAGCTCTCCCAGCTGTGTCTCCTCACAAATCCTTGTGCTATCCCAACATATTTGCCAGCAGAGTGGTAAGAGAATCCGACAAGACCTTGAGGCTGTGCAAGCGCTGCTCAACAATCACTAAAACACGCCTGAATTATCAACAGTGTTTCCAGCACAAAYCCAAAACATGGCCCCATACCAGCTACTATGAAGAAAATTAGCTCTACCCATCCAAAACCAGGGCAGCAAGTTGGCAGAGTAGCCTGTGGAAATCATCTTGCCTGTTCTGCTATGAATAGCAACACTTCAGCTACTGAACTTTTACTACTTTCAGACAGGACTTTCCTTAGTGACATGTAGAAAATAASAGTATCAACTTCTGCCTTATTTCTGGCAGCAATTTGACAAAGGRTCTGCCATGGTCAGCAAGTATTAAAGTTCAGTGATACCTTCAGTATTCAACCATTTGTATTACACCCATATTTGTAAAATGCTACACGTTGTACTAGAGATAAGATACAAACCAMATCACTAGTTTTAAGATCACAGAAATTACATTTGACCAGCTAGATAAAAAAACTTGGTTAAATATTYATGCATGAACTCACTAGACCCAAAACATAACTGAGCTGGAAAAGGATTAGGTCAATGTAGTTCATCAATCATTTGCAATACATGGCAAATATCCTGCTTTTTAGTAATCAGAAGGGCAAAGAAATGAAGCTGATAACRGCCTTCCCTTGACCTGCACTGCAACTCCACCAACAGTAAATCACCGTGGTGCTGCTCTTCCCCATCATCTCTCAGTACAGGTGTTTAGTTCTAGACTGTGTGCAGCATCAAGAAAGATCAGGCACATCCCCAAGCCAGGCAAAAGAGTCAGGAAATGGGAAAAGTCAGTCAGGTGCTATACGTGGTTAAAAGAGGCACAGAAGTGAAKGCTGCCAGTTTCAAAGAGGGTGCCTGAGTTAGCAGAGCTCCTGAGATTGCTGCTCTCAGCTGCCTGCACGGGCAGTGGAGCTCCTCCTGACCAGCTAAAGGACCACTGTGCTGTACTGCAAGTCATCCAAAAGCTCTGGGAGATAAAGAAGCAAAGGGGCAATATTATCAGCTGTCCCAGCTGCAGCACCATCATCACGGGGCAGAGCGCCCACCGTGCCTTTCCAAAGGCTGAGCAGGGAATCCACATGGCAAACTAGACCTGAACACAGACCTGCTCAAATTGGCTTTAATCAGAGGCATCCTGCAACTTTAGAAAGTTGCTTATCATCATCACAAAAAAGTTCATGAAAAGGTAACTTGCTGATAGTCTATGCTCTAAAAACAGTGCATATCATAAAGAAAAATGATAACAGAAAAACTTACCGAATAATTTTAAAATCAAGAAGAATTCAGCAATCATCAAGTAACAAAACCTTTGCTAACACTTCATGATATCAAATAACTACAGTGATAAGGGAAACAGATGTTTAATCACACATTTAAAACACAACAAAAAGCAGTAACTGATGTTGACAATAAGTGATAAAATACATGCCAGAGACCGACATGAGGGCCTACACCAGCTACATGGTGACAGCGGGAAAAGGAGGAATTACAGGTTCAACGGGGAGTTTCTAGGGTGTGTTTTCTGATCACCACAGTGGAAATCAGCCACTAAATGCTCTGGCACTGAATGTTGAGCCATTGCATCATTTGTGGCCTGCATCCCACAAGCAATAAGAACTTTGATGAACTCAGAAGCAGTATTGGGCTAACAGATGAACAAACTCTGTTTTCCTTGTGGGACTCAGGCAGCAATGGCTTGAAAGTTAACATAAAAGATAAACTTGTCAATGAGCCAAAGGCAGAGTTCACTTGATTAAAACAAAATACAAGACTACTTGATGGCAAAGTGAGATTTTCTAAGCTAATAATTGTATTTGAGTTTAATTTAMTGCTTATTTCTGATTT